CGAATTATAATGGCAGGCCGCGTAACGAGCAACAATTGCGAGCCAGAATTACTCGATCCCGGTCGGTTCCCACAATTTTAATCGGCCGACCGCAACGCACAGCGTTAGACAGGACGATTAAACGGCTGTCAGAACGAGGGCTCGTGCTCGCGCATGCATACATGCGTAAGTGCGGACATGAAATTAATGTCACCTCTTTCAGACGTTTTAGTGGCTCCTTTGTCGAGCTCCTTCTTTTTTTATAGGTCATGTGTCACGCGACGAGAGTAGAATTGCTATAGTTCGAACAAAATCGTCGCTTCGTCAAATGTCAACCCCCCAGCCACTCGAGTTACTCGAATGGGAAACACGAGTCCGAAGGAACGAATTGCTCCCTCCGACCAAAGTCTGACGTGCCGTTGAATAAAAATTAAACCGGACACGTTGATTCGATAGCCAGAGATTTCACGCGAGAGACGTCTGGTTAAGCTTGAAAAAAAGCCGCGTCCGAGTTTGTTTCGTATTCGTGAACCGTGTTCGCACTCAGGAAAAACTGGCGGAAACATGGAAATTGCAGTGATTTCAGACTCGGTCCCGTGCCAAATAAAAATTTAAATTGCGAGCTAAAACTGGCGGACGAAATACGGTCGAAAATTGGACAGCGAATTGATGGTCGCAAAAAACGCGTCGATGTCGCAGCGAGTAAAATTTACATCTCCAGTAAATGCATTCCTCTTCGACTGGTTCTTGTGAGGTTTAAGCCTCCGATTTCTTCGGAGGTCCGTGTCGATAATCCTCTTACTAACCATAGTAAAATGCCTTCGCGAATGGATTTCAAGCTTCTTACGTGATCCACATTTCGCACGGGTAGAAACGCTTAGTGAAAATGTAGAAATGATCTCCCGTCAACGTTTTTCTCGCTCCTAATCCGTTATCGATTACACTTCGGGAATGACAGTTCGGAGGCTGGATGGAGGAAACCCTCCACAAAAGTTCACTCGTGGAACTTCTGGTAAAGGTGCACTCGACAAAGTACTCTCGTTGTGTCCCCGTATTTTCCATCTTCGCGCATGTCCTGCAGAGGTCTGGTATACATATATTTACATTTAGATTGAATTCCCTATTTACAAGAGTTGTGCACCACTCGCTGATTTCGAGCTCCACTACTTTGATCTGTTCTTCGTCTTATTATACGGGGAGAGTCGATAGGAAATAGGTATCACGTGCAACACTTTACTGATTTTATTAAATTACGCTAATGTACGTATCCTAGTACTTTGACGAATCAATAACTAGCTAGCAAACGTAAACGATTCGTTCTGTAATACGAAATATAGAATGCACTTACCAAAGTGAAGAGCGGTTTGATCAAATCGACCAATTTAAATTAACTAAGCACCAGCTGAGCACAATTACGTTTCCTAGGCGTTCGGATGCTCGTTTAAATTGACAAGCTTCGGTTATCCGCTCGCTGTCCACGTTCATTAACACGAACGTGACAGCGACGCAAAACTCTATGTAGTTCGACCATCACACGCGCATTAACACGAACATTATCTCCTCGCGTTAATAAGAAGCCGTTATAATTAATTAATCATAACCCAGTCTCGTATCAGTCTTTAGAGAGGAGTGTTGAAGAAAAACACTTTTGGAGCGGATGAGAGCTTATCTTAAAGATCCTTTTTCCTTAGAGTTCGTATCTCGATTTTCCGCAGCAACAACATGATGGCGAATGCGTGACAGGGAAAGGGAATGAGGCGCTTGCAAATGGTCGACGATTCGGGTCAAAGGAATAGTTTCTCTGGTGGTTTGAGGTTGTTCAATTGCAGAAAAGAGGCATCACGTGTTTTTACCACGTAGAGACACTTTTTATTCCCAGTATTCGGCGGTTACGTTACAAATGGGTCACGACATGAGTCCACCACATCGTTTACAATCATTTCACTCATACATGGAAAAATCGTAAGAGCTGTAGACCACCAACATTCGTTCCACAGTTTAATTTCAGAGATACCGTTGCAACGACACCACTTTTAGGATCGCATTGTTTCTTTTTCCTTTTGCTTTCCCTTTCATTTTTCGTGATTCCATCGTGCGAGGGAGCACGATTCAGCGTTACGGGTATCACGTAAAGGGATGCACACGGAAGATCCTATCACGTCCACCGATTAATGGCAGCTGCAGCTCCGGGATAGCGAAGTGTAAGTCGTGGGATAAGATCCGTCGGAGGTAACTTAATTTAACGAAACACGTCGTCCAGATAAGCCACCGTATTGCAGCCTCGTCGCCTGCCACGCGGAGATAATGCGGGTCAAATCGAATTTACTCTAAACTCCACGCGTTCATTAACGAGTCTATGTTATTCCAATCGAATATCGATACTCCGTTCACGATTCAATTTAATTCAATTCTTCAATCCGATTGCAAATCGTAAAAATTTTATAAAAGAAAATCCGATCAATCCACTTGTTAAACCTATTAAAGGTTCTCATCAATTTCTGGACATTTCTCTTTTAAAAAATTGTTTAGTAGACAGTTTCTGATAATCATGACGAAACTCTTGGACACATCAGTTATAAACCTGACGGATGGGCCAAGTTGTTCTAAGAGGGTGCGAGGACGAAGAATGGTGCGCATCCCTCACTTACGTGTACCGCGGAACCGCGTGACCGCGGCAAGATATACTATCTCCTGGAATGTGTTACAGGAGCTTTGTTTCACACACCTAAACCGCTTTCTCCGGTGTAAGCACGTTACAACGATTTGCGGCACGTGCAATCGCGGTACATCTACCACTAAATGTTAGACAGCGAGCGTCTGTGCCTCCAGCTCGAAGAATTTCGCGAAACGTGCCTAGTACTATCCCCGACAAGAAATTTTTGACCAATGCAGCAACGGTGGATGAAACATTTAAAAAATAAAAAACGTCAACAATTATTTTACATTCACATGGTGATTTATTGCACATGCAGTAGCAACGTTAAAGCTTGGTATGTTATTGTTATTTCATTGTACGTTCTATATTACATTGAATCAAAAATTTGTTGCTCAAGGGTAGTAGCCGGAGGGTCAATGTCTTAAATGTATCGTTGCTTCACAGTGGTTATTATATTTCTATCCGATTCGATTGGTCAGAGAATCGTTCTACAAAAATAATTCTTCTCTTATCGATACGAGGTCTCTTGTATGTGTCCTGGTTCATGGAATTTCAACAAGAAGCTGCGATACTCGACTCGTTGATCCTCCAACGCGTGGATTTTCTGGTTGTTAGCTTGAGCGTAGGTCTCGCGCCGAACGAAGCAAATGAAATGTCACCGGTGCGGTCAGACGCGACGGATCGATAGTAAAATTTGGAAGCAGTGATTGGACCCTCGGAAACGGAAATGTGTGTTCCTCTTTCTCGTTAATGCTTGTACAGCTCAAAACACGATAGCCGGGGGCGTTGTGTCAAGTATCAGACACAATTACACATTATATCAAATCGATTGCAATCGTTCTAATCTGGGACTCTGTACTATGCATTAGCTATTGTGTCCCGGACTGTACAGGCCCGTACATGTGACGTCGGTAGTCCGCGACTCGTCCCGCGGATTTATTCGCGTCGTTACCAACCGTGATCGAACTTCCTCGACAGGTCACGGAGTTCATTAATCCTCCAACGACACGCGACCTCGCTTCATCTTTCGTTGCTCGAGAAGCTCTGTTATCTTTATTGATACATACAATCTACGTACGGACGTATTTATTTCTTGGGCAAAGAGAAAGAATGCTCTATGAGATGGTACTGTGAAATAGTATCTTCAATATTGGACTGCGAATTTTATGCGCTCACAAGATAATGTAATAAAATTTATATATAATACCGTAGAAAGTACCAAAAGCAGAATGCAATATTTAAGACGCATTTTTTAAATGGTTCAGATTGCATAAAATTTCGCAGTCTGACACGTTTGCTAGTGTCAAAATAGTTTTCGCACGCTCTTAATTGTTTCGGCGAATAATTAGGAGGAAGCTATGCGACACGGACAGTCAAAGGGGAGCGTGCCGGTTTCAGCGAAAAATCAATAGGTACACATGTTACTTGGTAATCGCAGAGCACTTTCGCGAATACGTTGTCAAATGCACCGCTGACCGGCGCCTACACTGTTCTTAATGTCATCCCACATAGTTCACATATGTACATGCACTAAAGGGACGGTCTAATTAATAGCTGTCTCGACTACAAACGAAGATACGCGTTTACATATTATAAGTACATATACTCTGAAAGGTACCTTTTTCGATGTCTATTTTTCTTCACTTTTTATCTCTCTCTCTCTCTCTCTCTCATCCTCTCTATGTTCTATTCCACGTATATATTATATACATGTACAGAATGAGTCAATAAAAAAAATCATAAAATAATTGATTATACTTTTGCTTTAATAGATGTTCATATGAATTTTTTAATCGAATGCAGTCTTGCATTTCAGCAGATTTGCAATTTATTTTGATAAAATTTTTTATTGATTCAGCCTGTAGTATGAGGTATATTCATGTCGAAACAACACGAGCTGGTAGGAATGCAGTGCAAATGGTGTAGAAAAATGTAATCGATGTATGCCAGTGTTCAATCTGTACCGGAAATAGGAATGGTTCGTCGATCGAAGAAGTACATGTAATATCGAAGAGCCAGAAGATTAGTTGAAAGAAAGATTGGGAACAAGCGGACCGGAGGATCAGATATCGATAAAGAAATTATAATGGCCGCTATCAAATCGAAAATGGAATTCCATTGCTATTTCCGGCACGGAGGAAGGAAACACTAGAACGTATTACGACCCTACGTTAAAGCCTGGACCACAGTTTTGCGACGTGAGTGCGTGGAATTAATTCCCTAACCATTACTTCATTAATTACACGGTTAAAATTTTACGCGTCGCTAATATCTGACCGAATGTATCATAGTTACCTTATTTTATTAATTTAGCTAACACGAAGACTGATGAAAAATTAACAACTGATTTCTAATAAAATATATCACAAAGGAAGAAATCTGATAATATTTCTTTTACTCGCACGTGTTTTCAATTAAATCCAGTACAAAAATAAATACGTTCTCTAGTCTATAAGAACGATACGTTAACACAGAATCAGCATAATCATCAAGCTTTACGCTAATGATCAGAAGATCGTATAAGAGAAACTACGAGTTTTTTTGCTCGAGACTTAATCCTCTTTACATGCATACAGTCTGTATTATATTTATCGGAAATCGTGGAAACATTAAATAATGCATGAAACGCAGCGTTTTTGATATTCGTCGTTAAAAATTTCAGAGCTCGCTGAGGTCTGAAACACTCGGAATACATTTCCGTGAATATTGGCCAACGTGGAAAGATACCGTGGGTTTATTTGCTCTCGTTAATTCCATGTAGCTATCCGCCCTCGATTGAAGTTCTAGTCGCGTTCTCTCGCCACTCTATGTCAATTTTTCTAAATACCACCGCGCACCCAATTATTTTCTCTATCGATTGATCTTTTTCAGAGAAAACCCGTTGACGTTTCCACGAATTCCGTATCAATCCCATGCTTCACGTATACGTGTACCGCGCACAGCTGCGATAATGAGAAGTTACATGGGTAATTAATCGAGAACCGGTGCGTACAGCTGCGTTACACTCGCGCAACGAGCTGACGCAAAGCAGACAATGAGCCGAGAATTTCGGTCGGTTTAATTAATACAACTGTGGTATCATACTTTTCGTACAATACTTTTCGCCACAGTGATCATGAGGGATTTACCGTGAATTCGTATCTATAATTCCTTTTACGATGACTAAATGTTCTGAAAACTTGTTTAGCCATTTTGAACAGAGATAAAGTTGCGAAGTAAAGAAATTACGTCGAGTTCAGGTCCCTTCTTTCCTTCATTTCTCTAATTTTTAATCTCGAATTTCGCCCACGTACGCGACGAACATATGTGTGTGTCTTTAGCGGTAATATTTTGTACTTCGTTGTTTCACGTTCGTGCCTGGGACTTGGTATCCTCTAAGACTGCAGTAATTTATTATCAGCATTGTAAAGAGCTCTAACTTGCCAAAATTGTATGTAAGTTTAATTTAGGCGAACGTTTTCCGTTTAGAGAGAGAACTCTGCGTCTCATAAATCACGACACTATACGCGTGCACGTTTCGACAGCTCGGAAATGGAATTTCCGGATTGACGGGATTTCGCGAAAATCGAGCAACGATTCTATTGATTTCCCGTTTAGAATCATTTTGCGCGTTATTCAAGGGAAAATTGAATTAATCCGTCTGCTAATCAATTCGACAACACAAATAAATATTCCGACTGCATGCGTCCGTCAACAATTTTCCTTCACAGAAGATGACAGAAGTATTATACTGGTATTTTTCTTTTTACTACACGACTACGGATTAACATTTACTATGCCGTACGGACGATTATAAGTATGGACCCGTTTTTCAATTGCCGTGTCATCATGGACGTCGAACCGTTTTTTATTCTACGCGATCACCTTAAACGACGCACTCGACGAACAAGAATCAGGAGACCTTTGTTAGTCGCACGCTTCTTAAAACTCTACCTTTGCCTAACTCTTTGGTCGATTCTTCGATATAACGATTATTCAATAACGGTTATATATATTTATATATGTACATATACAGAATATACGTGTATGTATACATCAAAGTGTCATCAACCGTTTGGCCGATGCAATGAAATGTCCTGTTTGATTTAATTGACACTTATTTATCTTGTCTCCTTTCGAACGAGATTACTTCTGACATTCATTGCGAACTCGAGACACTGATATTTCTTAATTGCATTTAAGAGGGTTTTCTCAGGCCTCGTTAAGGAACAATGCGATGCTATATCACCCTTAAATCATTTTTACAGACGTGCCCTTTTTTTTTTTTAGATTTTATCAGCCCGATAATTAAGTGATCGAGATCTGACGAATGATACATAGAAATGGAACACGTTTGTTGTCCCATTGCTTTACATCGCGAAACGACTCGAGTTGAAGATGGACATTGACTGACGGAACATCAAACATCCTTTTGATTTTATCCCAACAACATTAAAATGATTAACTGTTAACTGAGAATTTCGAGGAGAACAAATCGTTACATTCAGTTTTATGTAGCGAATAAAAACAAATATTTAAAATGGATCGATGTTACGATCAAATAAACGAGAAATTGTATGGTCAGTTAACAGTTAAAACAGATCTGAATGTAATGTCGTTACGTGTACAAACAGCATGAAACCCCATAACCGCCGATAAAAACATTTATAAAAGGTAGCACATACAACAGAATTCCTTCGTACGGATTCTAACGTGACAATTAAAGCCCGTCAAATGGAGCTGGACAAGTGTACCCGAATGTATCCATAGTATTCAACAGTTTCCCCAATTATTCTTACATATAATTGTTGCACTGTTTTTTCAATTTTCGAAAAGCAAAGTACGAAAGATACGAATGGGTACCACTTACCTTTGACCTGTTTGAAGACAGGTATCAACCGACGATTATCAAACTCCACGTTGACACAGGAAGGAGGAAATAGGAAACAAAAGGTTTCTGCTGGTGTCGCTTCAGCTCACTTGCAGCCCATCGTTTTTCTGGGAATAGGATCTCAATTTGTGTTGTCGAATTTTCTTTTTCAAACGAGAGACTATCACTTCGATTATCATAGTCGTTGTTCTCAGTCGAGTTGGCGATGATCTGTCGATTTCTGCAATGCTTGACTCGCCCTACTTCCAGTCACATTTTCTTTCAAGCTACCAATTGTCAAGTGGTGTCATATCTTCCGTACCATTCCTGTACCATTTCTATCTTTTCCAGCGCTTCTGGATTGCAGTCCGAGCTCTTGGGACTGTGTTTCGCCAGGCTAGACTTTCGCGTGACTTCCACGTTGGAAACGCTATCGTACTGTGCGAAACAATCCTCGTCTCGTTCTATGACTGTCTTCAAAACTTGTTCCTGCAGGATGATTTGGTTATCTAAGCAAGTTTTCCATCGTGTTTGTGGTCTCACTTCTTTCGCGCGGAACGAGCGCTATGGTTATCTGTACCTGAAACACATTAAAACAACGCGAACGGTGGGCTCATTACGTGAACTTCTATCATTCTATAGTACGACGCGTCGACAATCTTGTAAAGTTAAAGTATGCAGTCTATCGTATTATACTAAATGTTTCGTATTATCTACTTTTCTATCGCAATAGGTCAACAGTGTGCGATGAGTGAACAGACTATGTCTGTCGACCTTTCAAAATATCACTCACTGTCTATAAGACGAACTACGTACTCGAACGCAACCTAGATAGAGCAATTATTCTTCGATCTTCGTTCTCAAACTGCTTACTACACCTCCAAATGTTAGACACACGTTTCTTCGGATTTCTACTATCGAGTTGCAGGAAATATTTTCATATTCAAATAAAAATTATTCCAGCATCGATTCTCTTCAAGCTACGAGTTGACATTTTTTATTGGCGTTATCTAAGGCATTTCAGCATGGAGTAGAGATAAGTTCCCCGTACGATTTATCATAGCAGGAGTCCGGATCGAAGCAGAGCTACGGCGCCGCATCTAAATCGATCCGCGGGCGACCCGGTCAGCGCGCAACAAAACTGAAAGCGTGCGTGTCCCGTAAATTCTTTCGGTCTCGATCACGCGAGCCCGCGGTTAACACGAAAGACAGGGGTTGGAACCGCGGGAAGAGCAAAAACCGAGGGTCTCCCGCGGCACGGAAACGTTGTTCGGTTCATCGACGCGCGCCGTCGTATTCGCGGCCTTCCCTGGTATTTATGAACCTCTTGCGCCGACACGCGACCAAATTCGTTGACCTACTATTTTGCACCTATGCGATCTAGTTGCCGGTGTGTACGCGCGCGCATGTGTATATCTACGTACTACTGATTGCTTTCCGGGTATAGACATAGACTACTTGGGTTGCGCGTCATACGCCAGATGCATTGACCCAATACCCAGAATATCCTAAGTTCCTCGGCGTCTTTGCTATTCTTCTACAATTATTTAACCTTTTCTACTCGAGCCTCACTTGACATTTTTAAATAACAGATCACATAAAATCATTGGAAGTGTAAATGGTTGCATTGCGTTGTTGGAAGCTATCGAGATTCACAGAAACAAAAACTATTTGCATCCGTTCTACTTCGAAACGTTTTATCTTTTTGAATAATCTGTTACAAGTTCGATACAGGTTTGACGCGTTATCGGAATCGTAAACACGTATCGCGGAGAAATGTGGGGCAGGGTTTATCGCGCCGTTAACTAGCAATCACATTGATCGAATTCCGCAATTGTACAGATTCGGTATCGCGGTGAAGGGACGAATCCATCGAGCGCCACAATTTCATCGAGGAGTACGATTTACGAGGAGTACGGATACGGTGGCTTACCTTTCTGGTAGCGGGCAGGCCAGAATTCTGAAAGACGCCAGCACGGTAATCACGAACAACGTGATCGCGAAGATCACGTAGACCACCCCTAGATGCACCAACGCGAACACGTACAAATTTTTACAGCAGTAGTCGTCCGGGTCGTGCACATACGCAGATGTGTACGGTGGCCACATGATGCGGAGGATCCAATAATTTCCTGGGGCAAGTAAAAGTTCGCGAAACTCGAATTAAATTTCCGGCCGCTGTTTTTCCATCAAATTAAACGGTCCGTTCGTTTCGGCTTTTTGAAAAATTTAAGGGATGTCAAAAGGACAGGGTAACGAGCGAACTCGTGTCGCACTCGACGGCAAACTCGCTGCCGGTGGCTCGTTACTCTTTTTTAAACGGACGCAATTATGTCTGTAAACGTACCGAGCTGTGTAACTAGGCGCGATCACGAACCAAAATTAGGTTGCATCGGAGCAACTTACCACCCACAACGAGCAATTACTCGTCGGCGCAGTCGACGATCGATCGCTTTTGTTCAACTGATTCGAACGTGGTTCTCGACGCGAATTTCGGGAATCGAGTTTAAAAAAAATATACAATCAAATCAGGAATTACAGGAATTCACGATGTATTGACGATCCAGAATTATGGATGCGTGTATTGATTTTTTGTACGATTCATTGCATGGGTAAGGATGTATAGACTAGATATTTAAACAATGCTAGCATGTTGAATTTGTTATTGTAGATTCCTATTATTAACCCTACAACTTTTATTTGAAGCATTTTTCGAAATTTTGACAAAAAAAAATTTTTCAATTTTTTCGAAATTTTTCAAGGGGGTACCCCTTCAGATTTTGCAAAATTTTAGTTTTTTGCCAATAACTCCCAAAC